AGGAAGGGCGCGCAGTACAGCAAGACGTTCCGAGGCCACGTCCACGTGACTTTTACTATAGAGCAGTGGCATGGCTGTTCTATTTCACTATTAGTTATTGTTAATATCTTACTGAGCCTGATTCACACAGCGGCTATGCCATAGGTCTGTATCTATCGGGAAAACACAAAGTATCTCTAGGATTAGCACCACCTGCAGCTTCAGGCGTCCCCTGGGGTGTCTTGGAACACGACCCCCGCGGGTGAGGGGGGACTGCGTGTAGCTAAGGTTAGGGGGTTCCAGGGTGGGGCCCTGGTCCAGCAGGACTGGTGTCCCTCTAAGAAGAGGAGGAGACCTTAGGTATCCTTCTCTCTCTCCACACGAGCAGAGGAGGATCCTCGTGAGGACATGGTAAGAAGGTGGCCACACGTGAACCACGGTGGTGCTGCCCCTGGTCGCCTGGTCCAGGTGTCTGTCCGGCTCCTCCACCGGAGGCTCCCTTTCCTTCCTCATCCCCACTGTCCTCTTTGGGAGGACGTCCACGTGCACGGCCCACACGTAGGGGTGGGAGCCACACCAGCCCTCCCGGGGGGCAGCTGGTGATTTATTCGGAATTCCGAGTGGGAGGCTTGTCTCTTCTGCCCTGCTATTTACGTCTCTGATCATTTGCTTCTTTCCGTGTGGACTCGTGGGTACTTGTGCTACTCTGAGTTATTCTGCTGGCCAACATGACCAGCTCTGGCCGCCGGGAGCTCCTGGGCGACCGGCCCCCATCACAGTGGTGACCTGCGCACGTCCTGACTCTGCGGCCCTACAAGAGCTGCAGGCGCGTCCTGTTTGCTTCCTGCCCCAGCCCCACAATCAGCCATTTCTCCAAGGAGCTGGTTCCTCTTGCTGGAGAGTGTTTGGAAACCAAGACCTGGCACTGGGTATGCTCGCTGCTACTAGGGTGTCATTTATTCCAGGGCTCTCAGCTGGCAGCACAAGGAAAGCATGTGCGCGCTGACCAACGTATCACACGTCTGCAGATATTTCTACATAAAGGTGTGGCCGTCTGTATCTGTAGTAAGGTGAACATGAGTTCATATGGGTGCCACAGAACATTCCAAGATGACAAATCCTGCCAGTAGGTGTCTGTTCCTGGCACATGCTGCCCCCTGTGCAGAACGCTCTCTTCCTGGATGCCCGCAGGGCTCCCTGCTCTTTGCCTCAGGTGCCAGCTCAATCCTCGACAGAGAGGCTGTCCCCTGGTCTGTGGCACAAATGCCAGCTCCTGGGGCCTCCCACTGCTTTACGGCAGCTCCGGCGCTCACGCCCCCACCCTCGCCACCTGAGGCTCCCCAGCACCAGAAGGGCCGCAGGTGCGGCTGCCTCTCGGTCCCGGTGTGCCTGCCATCAAACACCTGCCCCTCGGCTCTGCTCGGGAGCGGCGACGTGCTTCCTCACAGCACCTACTCCTGCCTAACCTGAGCCTGGCACTGGCCATGGGCTCGTTTCCTTCCGTGTCCATCACAGCTCCCATGGAACATGTGCTGTGAGCCGTGGGTCCGGTTTCCTGTGGCTGCCCAAAGCCCAGCACAGTGCCCATGCACGGTGGGCATCCAACACGTGTTTTCAAAACAAACGTCTGCATGGAAAAGAGGACAAAGCTGCTGGCCAGAGGCCAGGAGAGGCATCACCCCAGGCCTGTGTGTCCCATCCAGGACCCAGCCCTTGGGCCAGGCCTTCCTGGTGGTGGTGGTGGTGGTGGTGGTGGTGGTGGTGGTTGAGAGGCCTGGGCCAGCTCCTAGGTGGCAGCGAAAGGGGCTCTTGTTGCCCACTCCCTTATCCTGACCTTGGACACACAGGTTTATTTCAATTAAAGAACAGGAGACCTATGCCGATCACTGTCCAGCTCCTCATGCCGCACTGATGCTGAACGCTGACGCAGCATTTGCACGGAAGCACGAAGAGGCCACATGCTTGCAGGAAAGAACCACTTCCGGGTGCCCTCTTGGGCAGGGCTCTGAGGCTCAGACCTGCTTCCTCAGATGACGGCTTACAAGGACACACACGTGAGGGGGCTCTGCTGCCCCACCTCAGGCCGGGCAGTAGCCACGAGGAAGCGTGGCCTTGGGACACTGCTGGACACAGTATCCAGGGCAGTTCCTCAGAGGCGCCCGTGCCCTCCAGGGGCTGAGGAAGGTGCTGGGGCCTCTGTCTGGGGTGTGCCTCTGATCCTCAGCAAAAGCAAAGGGCGGCTCTCAGAGAAGGAAATTCTGCCCAGTTACAGTCCAGGGCCCCGTGTCAGCAGAGCCCACCTGGGAGGTGAGGCCGGAGGGAGCAGCTCCAGCCAGCCCCTCTGCACTGAGGCCACGTGAGGGCAGAGGAGGAAGCCTCTGCAGGAGGCCCCCGTGTCCACCACCAGCCCAGGACATCGGTGTCCCTCCGGGGCCGGAAGGCGGCCAGCATGGGCCAGCTTTCTCAGAGCCAGAAAGAGAACGTCGGGCTCACACTTCACTGTCTGATCACAGCACGGTGCAGCAGCTGTTAAGACTTGAATCACCCATTTCATCTCTGTCCGGTCAACTCTGCCTGCTCCCGTTCACTTGAAGGCAAAGCCTGTGTGCCTCCTCACGGACACGGACCGGGCGCGTCAGGAGGCCGGCTTGTGGGCGGAGAACAAGGGCCAGGGATTTCAAATGAGCGGACATCATGCCCTGGCTGACCAGTGGCACCAGTGAGGTTAGGAACTGCTGACCTTAACTCCGCAGCTGCGGAACAGCAGCAAAGGAACACGGCCCGAGGATCCTCTCATCTGAGTTGATCAAAGTCCACGGATGGATCCAGCGGGGGGCAGGATGCGTCTTCTCCAAGTCCAAGGATGCGGAGCCACAGGCAAAGCTGGCAGCCGGGTCGTATGGAGGCCTTGCAACCGGCTGCCCCGGCCACAGTCCCTGGGAGCCGACCGCTCCTTCCGCCGGGGCGGCCCACAGCCGGTACCGCTTCCAGGAGGGAACACGCAACGCGCCCAGCAGCCGGGCCGCCTCCCTGTGGTCTGGCCCACTTCTGGACTGTTTGTGATTCTTAAATGCCTTTTTCATGCTTATGATCATGTACCCCATTCCTTTTCACGCCACCATCTCACTGGGGGCCGAGGACACAGCAGGTGCTTATCAGCTGCCTTTTCTTGGCATGTATCCCCAGAGGGTTTCAACCCATAAGGGGTTAAAGAGTTACTGAAAACTGTAATGGCCCAGCTAATAAACACCCAGATTAGGGGAGAGGAATCACCTGATTGCCATCCTTTGATTACTATGTATTTTCATTGCCAAAAGATGCAATACAATTTCATGGTTACTTGGGTCTCTAAAATAGAAATACCCCCAATTTTTAAGATATGAAAAGGTTTATGACCAGGGTACTGTCAGTTCAAGAATGAGTCCATGGTACAAATGAGTCAATTCATGACAAAATTTAATTTCAGGAAAATTAACTCAATAAAGATGCCACAATTGTGCTTAAACTTTTAATACCTATTAGGAGTTCTAGTGAAGTGGTGCGGGGCTACGGACGTGCAGATCCATTTTCTGGCTCCTCCAAATGTGACTGACTTAATACCTAGTTTATCTGTAATGGGGACACTATGACGAGGAACTCTGTGCTTAACGAGGGGGCCAGGGTCTGGAACAGCCTAACCCGTCACAAATGGAGTGCATTCGCCAATTTACAGGATATTAAGTTTTGTTTCCTATGATTCTACCAAGACCCAATCGATAGCACCAGCCTGATGGCCACTTGAACCAAACAGCCCACGGAAAGGCTTTATGTCCCCGTAAATGTTAGTGGCCAGAAACACTACAGCTGCCAAATACCTAGAAAACCAAAACCACAGGGGCATGTGATGCCATGTACTGAGTAGCCATGATTTCTGTAGTGAACATCATTAGAACACACAAGCTGCAGAAGAGAAAAGCGAAGTCAAAACATCCACGGACCCCACATGGGGCACACGGACCAGCCTCAGGAACGAGGGGGAGGGTCAGGGTTCTAAATGGCTCAGATGGGAACAAGCTCACAGTAGGAGCCTGGGCACGTGGGTCGGTAGGTCAGCAGCCAGAGCTCCCACCCCACCGTCCAGACCAAAGGTTCCATCCGTGGCGGGAAGAGGGACTGATGAGAAAGCGGCTGTAGCCCTCACAGCGAGGCCCAGGCCTCCCGCCACCATGTCCTGGCCCTGGGCCTCCCACTGCCTCACCGAGGAGCCTGCCGCCTGGAGCTCCCTGCCCCGTCCCACAGGCAGCGGCCCCGTGGCAGGGGCTGACGCCCACTGCAGTAGAAACCCTGCCTCTCAGAGGTGGGCTACAGGCCGGCCACAGCAGGGGTCCACCTGAGTGCCCCCCAGGTCCCACCATCTGCAGGCAATGACAAAAAGCCAGCGAGTAGCCCCCGCAGCGAGCTCAGCCTCGGCAAACATCTCCACTAAGATAGAAAGGCGCTGCTATAAAGCAACAGGCCACTCAAGGGAGCAGAGGTGGTTGGTTCCAGAAAACTCAATCTTCTGAGGGAATGAATCTCATCACAGTCGAGAGCGTGTAGAAAATTTCTTCTCGTACGGAATATGTCAGTTGACTTAAAAATCTTTATTGTAAGTAACTCAAACCCCAGACAACGCGTGAGTCCTGAGTGTGGATGTTTCCGGCAGGTGCAGCCCAGACTCCCACGGGGGTCACAAGTGCTCCTGGCACGCCCCGTGGGCCCTACCCAGGTGCAGACTGCTGGTGAGCACAGCGGGCACTGCACACACAGCCAGAATGAAAAGCAGCCACGGACGGAACAGACTGTAGAAATGGCCTTTCCCTGTTTCGCACGGATTCAGAGGACAGGACCCCAGAATCGGACTCCTCAAAGACCACACTTCAATCAAGAGGCTGCTCAGCAGACAAAACCACATGCAGTGCAGATGCCGAGCAGGACGTGCGGACAGGATGGCCAGCACCTGGGGCCGCCTGGTCCAGCTCCTGGGAGGGTCGGGGGCTCACCTGGTAGGTGTCCCACAGGCGGATGGTGCAGCGCAGGGGCAGCTCCCTCATCAGCAGGTTGTTCATCCAGCGGAAGGCGAACTGCAGATATCGCACCTCATGCTGCTCCAGGTGCCGATGGACTTGTTCTACAGGAAACACACAGACCCCAAGGCTGTGAGCAACATCCTCGGAGGCCCGGCAGCTGCCCGTCATCCGGTTCCCAGGGGCCCTGCCACGCCAGACACCAGGGAACCGCAAGCAATACCCCCAAAGGATCAAAGAAGGGATTTCTGTTAAAGACTTTACAGTTGACGCTCCCCAGGAAAATGGGTGGCAGTGGTAACGGCAGCGACACGTGGCTCCCGCCTGTGGGGTGTGCGTGGAGGCCGACACCCACTCCCAGGAAGAACACAGGATGTGCCTGCCCTACAGACGAGGGGCTGGTCCTCCGGGGCCCACAGCAGAACTCCCGTTAAGCCCACACGTGTCTGGCCCCAGGGCAGGAGCCCCTTCTCCTGAACAGGACAGGTCTACGGACACAGCTGCAGTCCGGGAGGTGCCTGGAGAGAGGCAGAGGAGAGAGTCGGCCAGTCCCAAAGACGACTCCAGCCTCATCCCCTGCAGGCCAACGCCCCCAGATCCGGGACCCAGCCAGAGCAGGGGAGGCTGGGGCACGCTGCTGGGCCAGGGCCTTTGCATTCCAGGTCTGAGTCTACCTGGGGTACCGTAAACACAGCCGGGCCTCTGAGAGAACCAGACGGACCACTGGCCGTTTCCCTAACATACATTCTCTTAGCTGCCATGAAATCACCCCCTCACCACACTGCAACGGCAGCCACCCCACAGGCATGGCCCTGAATCCCTGCCCAGGCCTCTGCCCAGGGTCAACGACCAGCCAGAAAGGCCTGGAGCCCGGGGAAGCTCCGTGGCCCACGGGATCCCAGAGGTGGGCCTTCAGAGAGCACAGGTCCCAGGATCCTGACGACTGCGCTCCTGCTCCCAGCCTTCCGCCACGAAGCCCTGAAGGGCCTGGAAGTTCCCTAAAGCAAGTAAGCATGGCCGGCTCGGCCCCCATGGGGAATGGGCCCTCTCCCACACTGACTTCTTTAAGTCCAGGCATCAGGGCCCACACAGGTGCTGCTGAAAGCCTCTGTCTGCACCCCTCTCCTTCAGCCTCCAGGGGGCTCGCGTCGGCCCGTGTCCCTGATAACCTGCAGTACCGCAGAGACGAGGCTTTCCTGACCACTGAGCCAGAAGCGGGCAATGGGAGGCAGCGGGAGCTCCGGCCCTGAGACCCTGTGGGTCCCGCAGACAGCAGCTCCGGCAGACGTGAGTGCCTGGCTGGGCGCTGCCCGGGCCTGCAGGAGGGGAGGCTCTGCCGGGCTGGCTCTGGGCAGCTCTGCTCCCACAGCTGGAGCTGCTCTGTCACCACCACCCCAAACCACCCGTGACCTCAGCTGGCCAGAGCAAACCCGCCAGGGCACCCTCAACCCGGCAGGCTGGGGCAGGACACCGGGGGCCAGGTGTGGGGGTGAGGCCCAAGACCAGTTCCACCCCGACAGTGACCGACTGCACCACGGGGCTGACAAGAACACAAAAGCCCACCTCAGCCCTTGCCACCAGCTGGGAGCAGGCTACCAGGGAGGGGGCGGCCACCAGTGAGGGGACAGGCAGTGCCCCCAGGCCCACCGCGTGCTGCCCCCACAAGGGTAAACCCAGAGACCGAGGGCTCTGGCACAGCCGGGGTAGGCCTGGGCCCAGACGGCAGGTATAGGGCCAGGCAGCAGGCGCCTCGCACCCTAGTGTCCAGCTCCTTCACACAGGGGCCTCTCCCTGCAGGGGGGTGTCACATGCCACCATCACACGCTGGGTCTGTGTTTTGCTTCCTTCAGAGGTTCTGGCAAAAACCTATGCAAACATGTTCAAAGACCAGCATCTCCATATCAGCAAACCCCCCTGGCCCCCAGGAAAGCTTCAGGAGGAGACGGACACTCCTGTGGAGGAGGGCCTGGAAGGGGTGTGGACCAGGAAGCAGGGGATATCAGGGTTGGGCAGCTGGGTGGAAACAGGGCCGTACTGGGACAGGAAGGATACCGAGGAATTTTAAATGCACTTTTATATTAAAACCCAAACAAATACACATGACAGCACAGTCGGTCATCATCGCTGGTTTCTGGGATAAGCCCTCAGATTTCAATGGCGCCCCTCCTTTGCAAGGGGCCCCTGAAGCTCCATCTTCCACTCCCCCCCACAGACGATGGCGGCTCCCATCTTGGGCTGGTTGTGGGAGCACAGGGGAGACGAGGCGGAGGCGCTCAGACCCCAGCAACAGCCCTCAGAAGCAGGGGAGGCCCAGGGCCAGCTAGGGGGTGCTGACCGTGACCCCAGGGCCCCCGAGTACAGCTGAGCATCACCCTCATCTCAGCAGCTGTTAGAACACAGGCTCTCGTGCCCATCTCGACTTTCTTGGTCAGCATCTTCCAGCCGGGATCTGAGAATCTGTGTTCAATCCGCTCTCCAGAAGATTCTTATGCGCCAGACACACAGCCGTGCTGGGGACCAGGCACAAGGGCAAATTACACAGGGACTCGGCACCCAACAGGCTCCCAGGGGCAGAGGAAGGTGGGACTCCACCTCTCACACGGGGTCCCTGGGCACAACAGGCTGGTGTCACCCAGAGGTGGCAATGACTGTGGTTTACTTAATAGGTTTCTTCTAATCAATGTGTATCTTGTTAAATACATTTATGTTTAAAATAAACTTAATTTCACTACCAAAGAGAAGTTTCTACTTGCTCTATGGGGGTAAAGAGGTGAGTAAACAGGCACCGGTGTGGCGCAAGGCGGAGCTGCCCAGCCACATGCCCCAGCAGAACAGAACCGCCTGGCTTTTCACTGAGAAGAGCCCACAGACACACAGAGGTGACACTCTCCCTGTGGCCCTGGCCTGTCAGCTTGGGGGCACTCCACACCAGGAGGGCGTTTTATTTCAGGAGGCCTGGAGGGTCCCACAAAATGGCCCACGATCGAGACAAATTGGCCTGCTAGCTGGAATGCCCTCTCGGCCCTCCCTCCCCCAGAACACCCCAACTTCAGGTCCCCTCAGGGGGCACTGGGTGTCCCGGCCCAGCCCCAACCCCGAACCTGCTCCGCCACGCTCTGGGCCACACCGCCTTCTACCTGGGCCTCCCCCATCCCTGCCCAGCGCTATGCTCCTCACATGCCGGGCGCCTAGAGAGGTCTCTGAACCCTGTGCAGTCAGCTCCCCTTCCTCTTGGTCCCCAAACACCTCCAGTGAGGCAGCTGTCACTGTGCACTGAGCACTACTATTCAGAGACGTGAGCTGGACGCGTCTGCCCCTGGGGTGGGTAAGGGGCTCGGTTCATCTTGTCTCTCAGGCCACGCGCCCACCAGGCGCCCAGGAGTGTCTGCCAGATGACTGAGGAAATGACAGACGCAGGGAGAAAATGTGTAACCGGACCGGAGTAAGCCCCGACCTCTGGATCCTCGTCTACTTCCCTCCTCCACACAACACTGAGGAGCGCTTTCAGCAATACACCTGGATATCATGTTCTTTTTAAAGAATTTAAGAATTATTTCTAACCTGACATTAGTGGCAGCTACAAAACTAGACCATTGGAAAGGCCCAAGGGCCCTCGAGCGGCCCCTCCGTCCCAGCCTGACCTGGCCCACCCTCCAGGGGCAGAAGCCCCCCAGCCCTGGCCCACGCCTCTGACCCCGGTGCTCCGGTCAGTGTGAAATTCAAATATGATGAACACTTGGAAACCAGCAGGTGAGAAAATAACCGAGTTTACTGAACACAGCTCTTGGACACAGAAGAAAGAGGACGGAGCGTCTGTGAACGTGCAGTTGGCAGCCTGAAGAAGAGTGGGCGGAAAGGGACAGCTCTGGGGACAAACCACAGCCAGAGAACTGAGCACCCAGGAAGGGGGAGGCCGAGGCAGGGCTGCCCCCAGCACAGGCGCTGCCCGCCAGGTGGCACCCATCCCGTGGTCACTCCCAGCCCGTGGCTCCATGAGGACACATGGGCTGTGATCTGTGGCCGGTGCCCCATCCCGACTGGGGCTGGACAGACAGGAGCTCCGAGCAGGCCGGCGGCTGGCTTGCAGAGCCCAGCCCCACCAGAGCAGCGCGGTCAGGGCACTTTAACAATCAGGAAGGAAGTGCCACCTCCACGCTCACTAGCATGGGTTCAGGTGATGTGTGACAGGCTGCAGGACACCCTCTACCTCCGCGCAGTAACGAGGTTTGTTAGCGGAGGGTCGTGGAGCTCAACCCCCTGACGGGGAGCCCCCCACAGGCCTCCTGGGGATCCAGCAGGAGTCAGGCCTGCAGTGGGTCCTCCCAGGGCCTGGCCTGGTCTGGGTCAGCAGGCTGGCACAGAGATGGGCCTGGCCTGTGGCATATGCTCAGCACAGCTGCTCAACAAGGACCCCGGGACGCTCTTAGAAGAGAGGGACAGAGCGAAGCTGGGGAGTGAGCTGCACACTGGGGGTACAGGCAGCGGCCGCACCTCCCCATCAGTCCACCTGCTCAGCCTGTGGCAGTTCCTATCTGCTTCATGACGAGGGCGCCACTCTATGGACTGCGAACACGCGCTGACAGGCTCATCTCTGAGGTAAACTGGACAGCGGATTTGGGAAATTGGACACATATTTCTGGAACATGTGTCATTGAAGTTACCTAACTAAACAATAAAAATAAACCCTTTCTCTGCTGCGCTGAGCTCCAACACCCCCCACCTGCACAGGGCACAGGAACAGGCAGGCCCCTGCCCTCCCCACGAGGTTCTGGCAGAGGCGACCCTGTCTCAGGCTTGGCCAGAAGGAGCCCCTCCCAGACACAGCACGATGGCCAGCCGTGCTGCACCAACCCCACTGGGCAGCTGCCCAAAGGAGCAACATGCCTGGGGCACGCTCCCCGCATAGTGAGGCGCCTATTAACCTGCCCAAGGTTCAAGTGAAACAACAGCAGGCACGGGGGGGACCCAGGAGTGTCCCTCTCTGCACCCTGACATAAGCCCGCACTGCCAGGACTCTGGCACCCACAGCCTGGGCACAGTCATCGCCCCTACAGGGGAGGCCCAACCCAGCAGGGAAGGCACAGGCTTGGGAATGGCCAGACCCTGACGCCCACAAACCCCACATGGCCACAGGCATTGGAGAGCAGAAGGTATCTTCAGGGAAGGTGTCTAGGGGGCTCCACATCCCGGCTGCCTAGGGAATCGGGGCCACAGAGAGCACAAGGCCCACGCCTGCCCACCAGGAGCTGGGCGACTTGAAGGAGAGACAGGAAGAAAACAGCCGTGAGCCTCCAGGCCATGAGTGCCACCAGAACCACCGACCCGGAGTGCCTAGAGTGCCCAGCCTTCTCTGCCTGACCCCGGCGCCCCGGCTCCTGGCAGCGGGTGGGGCCGCGCACCTCATGGTGAGGCAGCGCCCCATGGCCAGGCAGCAGCAGCGCTTCAGGGCCACCAGGAGCACCAGGAGCCCTGCAGCGGACGGAGCGCGTCCCGTGTTCACACGCCACGGCCATTTCTCACAGTCACACGGCCTCCACGGGAGTCCGTCAGGAAGAGCATTAAAGGGGCCGGCCACCAGCTCATCAAGCCCCTCGTGACGTGCAAACGGACCTCTGGCAAGGCTGCCTCCCGCTCGGAACACGTTGAGAGATGGGCCACTAAACTCCAGGCATTACTTTCAATGTATATACATCGGAGCTGCAAATGTATATGCTGAAAAGATTCATTTTTCCTATTTTACGAGTAATCGTGAGCAGATGCTCTTTCACTGATAAAGGTAATTTGGTTAGCAATAATCCTGAATTTGAAATTTCCATTTCACTGGAAATAAGAGTGTACATATAATGAATGAGCAGGCAGATGTAATTATTGTCATCTTTCAAGCTGAAAAGATTTTTTTCATGAAACCCTTCCGTGGCAGGCCAGGGCACTGCTATTGTTATCAGGTCACAGAAAGGTATATCATATTGGCATTCAGGAGAAACCACCATAATATTTGCTGGACACTTTTCTTAGCACTTTAAACAGCAAATCTGCAGACTGAAAACTTCGGCTGAAACATCTTGTCTTCCTGATTAAAAATAAAATAAATGATGCAAACACATTGTATCCCAGGATTTATGCTAAAAAGAAGAAAAAACATGTATCCCATTGACTTGGCATAAAAAACACATACTGTTTATGCAGGCCAGACAGTACTTAGATTTATCTGCCCGAAGAGCAAGCGTAATTGCTCACACTTAGATACCTGACAAAGAAAACCGCTCAAAGGCCCTCTACAAAGCTGAATACATCAGACTTCTGCCAGGCAAGGCATGAATAGGTTTTGATTTGGGAGGAAGATTTCAATTCGCTATCAGTTAAAAAGATAACAAAGAACAAAACAAGAGCCACCTGACAGTGAACATGGGCCTCTCTGCAGCCAGTGCGCCCCTCGTCCGGGCCCACCCACCGGGCCCACCCACTCTCCTGGTTCGCAGGACTGGATCACGCTAACAGCAAGCAGCAAGATGAAAATCAGGCCCCAGAGGGGCAGGGCTCACAGCTGCACCAGGGCGGGTGGGCAAAGGGGCAGGAACAGAGGCCGCAGGAGGCAGGTCGGCCCAGCCAGCTCCACAAAGAGCGAGGCCAAGGCTCTCTGGCAGACGGGCTGCCCCACAGCCACCCAAGGGGGCGCCAGCCGGAAGGGGACAAGGTGGGCAGCCGGGGGCAGTGAAGGCAGCAGAGCAGAGCCCAGACTGACGGTTCCTCTCCCCAAGCACGGCACACTCCCCAGCAGGTCTGAGCAGGCAGGCACACCTCCCCAGGCCCACCTCAGGGGCGGTGGGGAGCAGAAGGGGTCCACAGACCTTCTCCCTCGGGCAGCAGGCGAGCCTGGGCAAGACATTGGGGAGCAGGGGAAAGACCTGCAGTTCAGAGGCAGGTGAGCCTCGTTCAAACCCCAGGCTGGCTCTGGGAAAGATCTTGCAGGCTCTCAGTGTCCCCAGGCTCTCCCCTGAAAACAAGGGGAGCCCCAGGTCCCTCACAGCACCCTCAGGAAAGTTCCAGGTGTCGGGGCCACCCACAGTGGCCATTTGATAGGTGCCAGACCAACAAGAGGGAGGGAAGGCTGCCAAGCCTCATTTCAGACCAAAATCCACAATGGAGAGGCTCTGACCACAGCTATCCAAGGCCCCTGCTCACAGCCAGGCGAGCCTGACCTCACCCAGCCCAGCTCACCACCCCGTGAGCAGCCACAGCTTCCGCAGGTCCCAGGCTGCCTTTGGGCCTCCTCGGCCCTCCAACCAGGTGAGCGAAGTGACAGGGTGCTGAGGGTTCCTAGACAAATGGGAGGAGGCAGGCCGGGGCCAGGGGCTGTGCCCGGCCAGTGTCGAGAAGACATGGCCCAGCCTGCAGGCAACCCTGCAGCCATGGGGAGACACCTGCTGTGACAGGGCTGCAGGTAATGGCCACTGCAGCCAGGAAGGGGTGCCACCACCCCGTGTGTGGCCCAGAGGGGCTGAGGGGGCACCAGGTCGGTCCTCCAGCACAGGTGGCCCTTGTAACACACCCTGAGGAGCACCTGGTCCAGGAAAATGTGATTGACAGGCAGAGGCCTCAAGGCCAGCTGAGCTGTACACGCACACGTGCTTCACCAGCACGCCTCCTCCCTTAACACACAGCCGCTGCGTGCCAGTGAGGGGCCCGACAGTGTCTCCAAAACAGTCTTACCTCGGAAGCTACAACAGAAACAACAGGAAGTACTCAGAAATCTAACGCCATCTCAGGAATGTGCTGGCAGTGTAGAGAGAGGCCCCCAACCCCTGTCCTGTGTCAAGAACCCCGAGTCGCAGCCACCCCCTCAGGGGGCTGTTCAAGCCGTCCTCGTCCTTTATGAGCAAGAGGGGCCCACGAAGGTCAGGAAGGACCGATGGGGCTGGGGCCTGGAAGCCCTTCTGTCACGCCACCAGAGACATGCTGTTTTGGGGTGATTGTAGCCGATCCACCAAGTCGGAGAGGCCTCCTTGTGGTGCCATAGCTAATAGAACCACTTCTGCCCCTTCCCGGCAGGGAGACTGAAGCCCTGGGGTTTCCCCAGTGCTAAGTGTCTCTCTCATACTACTGAGGACCATTCCAGTGGGCGGCAGGCCTGGTCAGTCAGAATGGAGACTGAGGCCCCCAGAAAGACCCAGCCCCAGATCCGAGGTCAGGACACTCAGCTGCCAGGCCTCAGGGAGGAGAGGCCCTGGACACCGAGCTCATCACAGGGCCCGCAGGATGGAACCCGATTCACTCTGAGCCCTGGCCCAGCCGAGCTCCCAGCCAGTGGACACGTATCCAGAGTGATGTGCTCGGAGTCCAGTGGGCAGCTCCGTGTCCCCAGGGCCTTCCCAGCCTTGTCCTCTGTCTCTCCTCATGTGGCCAGTCCCCCAACCTGTACCTTGTCTAATAAACCTGCAGACGCAAGTATGGGGCTTTGCTGAGCTGTGTGAGCCATTCCGGCGGATGTAATCTGCAGACTGAAAACTTCGGCTGAAACATCTTGTCTTCCTGATTAAAAATAAAATAAATGATGCAAACACATTGTATCCCAGGATTTATGCTAAAAAGAAGAAAAAACATGTATCCCATTGACTTGGCATAAAAAACACATACTGTTTATGCAGGCCAGACAGTACTTAGATTTATCTGCCCGAAGAGCAAGCGTAATTGCTCACACTTAGATACCTGACAAAGAAAACCGCTCAAAGGCCCTCTACAAAGCTGAATACATCAGACTTCTGCCAGGCAAGGCATGAATAGGTTTTGATTTGGGAGGAAGATTTCAATTCGCTATCAGTTAAAAAGATAACAAAGAACAAAACAAGAGCCACCTGACAGTGAACATGGGCCTCTCTGCAGCCAGTGCGCCCCTCGTCCGGGCCCACCCACCGGGCCCACCCACTCTCCTGGTTCGCAGGACTGGATCACGCTAACAGCAAGCAGCAAGATGAAAATCAGGCCCCAGAGGGGCAGGGCTCGCAGCTGCACCAGGGCGGGTGGGCAAAGGGGCAGGAACAGAGGCCGCAGGAGGCAGGTCGGCCCAGCCAGCTCCACGAAGAGCGAGGCCGAGGCTCTCTGGCAGACGGGCTGCCCCACGGCCACCCAAGGGGGCGCCAGCCGGAAGGGGACAAGGTGGGCAGCCGGGGGCAGTGAAGGCAGCAGAGCAGAGCCCAGACTGACGGTTCCTCTCCCCAAGCACGGCACACTCCCCAGCAGGTCTGAGCAGGCAGGCACACCTCCCCAGGCCCACCTCAGGGGCGGTGGGGAGCAGAAGGGGTCCACAGACCTTCTCCCTCGGGCAGCAGGCGAGCCTGGGCAAGACATTGGGGAGCAGGGGAAAGACCTGCAGTTCAGAGGCAGGTGAGCCTCGTTCAAACCCCAGGCTGGCTCTGGGAAAGATCTTGCAGGCTCTCAGTGTCCTCAGGCTCTCCCCTGAAAACAAGGGGAGCCCCAGGTCCCTCACAGCACCCTCAGGAAAGTTCCAGGTGTCGGGGCCACCCACAGTGGCCATTTGATAGGTGCCAGACCAACAAGAGGGAGGGAAGGCTGCCAAGCCTCATTTCAGACCAAAATCCACAATGGAGAGGCTCTGACCACAGCTATCCAAGGCCCCTGCTCACAGCCAGGCGAGCCTGACCTCACCCAGCCCAGCTCACCACCCCGTGAGCAGCCACAGCTTCCGCAGGTCCCAGGCTGCCTTTGGGCCTCCTCGGCCCTCCAACCAGGTGAGCGAAGTGACAGGGTGCTGAGGGTTCCTAGACAAATGGGAGGAGGCAGGCCGGGGCCAGGGGCTGTGCCCGGCCAGAGTCGAGAAGACATGGCCCAGCCTGCAGGCAACCCTGCAGCCATGGGGAGACACCTGCTGTGACAGGGCTGCAGGTAATGGCCACTGCAGCCAGGAAGGGGTGCCACCACCCCGTGTGTGGCCCAGAGGGGCTGAGGGGGCACCAGGTCGGTCCTCCAGCACAGGTGGCCCTTGTAACACACCCTGAGGAGCACCTGGTCCAGGAAAATGTGATTGACAGGCAGAGGCCTCAAGGCCAGCTGAGCTGTACACACACACGTGCTTCACCAGCACGCCTCCTCCCTTAACACACAGCCGCTGCGTGCCAGTGAGGGGCCCGACAGTGTCTCCAAAACAGTCTTACCTCGGAAGCTACAACAGAAATCAACAGGAAGTACTCAGAAATCTAACGCCATCTCAGGAATGTGCTGACAGTGTAGAGAGAAGCCCCCAACCCCTGTCCTGTGTCAAGAACCCCGAGTCGCAGCCACCCCCTCAGGGGGCTGTTCAAGCCGTCCTCGTCCTTTATGAGCAAGAGGGGCCCACGAAGGTCAGGAAGGACCCATGGGGCTGGGGCCTGGAAGCCCTTCTGTCACGCCACCAGAGACATGCTGTTTTGGGGTGATTGTAGCCGATCCACCAAGTCGGAGAGGCCTCCTTGTGG